GTGTGTTAAAAAAATTAAGTACTTTTATTAATTAACATTTTAAGTAGAATAATAGTTAATATTTATTCCCCCTCTATTCCCGCCTCGTCTTCCTCTTTCTCGTCCTCCTCTTCCTCTTCCTCTTCTTCTTCTGCCATCACGCATCCCGCGTCCTCTCCATCCTCCCCGTCCTCTTAGCGCCAATTGCACCGTCCTATTGAGCAACGCGCTAAGTTCTTCTTTCTGAAACATAAAAAATAAATATATTATAATGAAAAATAAATATAAGAAACACATAACAAACGTTAATGGACATGTATATGTAAATATGTACATGTAAAATATTTTATCTTTAATTTAATATGCTGCTAGCAGAAAAATAATTTATTTTTGATATAAAATATGTAACACTTACACTTAATGTTATTATTGCCGTCGCCTCACCGACCGACGCCGGTATTCCCGCTAATGCTGGTGTCGCCGTCGTGACCGATGCCGGTGCCGTCATCGTGGCCAACGTCGATGCCGTCGCTATCACAGATGCCGGTGCCGTCGTCGTGACCGATGCCGGTGCCGTCGTCGATATCGGTGCCGTCGCCGCCGGTGTCCCAGACATTGTTTCCTATAAAAAAAATTGCAAAAAATCATGTACTATATATAAATAACACAAACAAAACATGGATAATGCTAGTCGGTTAACGAAAGAGAGATAAAAAAGCAAACGCGATGTGTTGTTAAAGTTTCCATGTTCGAGACACTATTCGCCGTAAAGAAAAGGCCAAATAAAGAAAATAAGTCTCATCGAGGCTCGTTCACTCGCTCGAAAGATAAGGAAATGTGGAATAAGACAAGAAACAAAGAGTGCACATAATGCAATGTATAAGCAAAATATACTGCTTTTAGAAGTTTCCGATTTCGACATAATTTTCTTATATTGATAAAAGATTAAGACGAATAATCCAATTCCTTGAGTAAATCTGAATAAGGTTTATTCTTATTCGAAAATTAAATTAACAAAATAGAAATCTCATTCGTTCTCATTTCATCTCACTCGCTTTCTTTAATGAGCCATTGATAATATTTAAATAAAAACTGTATGTGTACATTATCAAACTATTATAAAAGTAATCCTCGAGCCGAAAATCGTAAGGCAATCGCCCTTTTATAATGTAAAACATTGAATCCTTAGTATTTCGATATTACGCGTTTCGATGTGCTTATCTCATCAAACATCACTATTTCGCCGATATTGAATAAAAAATGTTACGTGGTGAAGTTACACTTTATTACATACGCGAATAGTTTTAATATATTAGAACATTATAAAATATACTTTCTAATATATACTGTACTTACCATTGCAATAATTCTTCACAATAATCCTTTCCAACACCCAACTGTTTCGATTGCACGTTGCACGTTCTTCGACGCACTAGGGATTTATCCGATTATCCGATATATCGAAAGATCCGATTTTATTTCGTAAAATAATCGATTTTTTCGTACAATTTTTTCAAGATCCGATATATGGTTTTTTGTTTTTTTGTTGGAATTATCGAACTTCTGCGCCATCTATAGCGTAAATTTCAGAGCTGTGTTCCGAAATTCACAGCCAGTACTGAAAATTTATAAAGCTCGTATCAGACTGCGTATTGAAGATTGAAATTTGACCAATCAAGATAAAAGGAACTAAAATTTCCTTGTTCTGATTGGTCAAATTTCAATCTCAATGCATAGTCTGATATGGGCTTAATACATGTGACACACATGAACTATAAATTTTCAGTACTGGCAGTGAATTTCGGAACACAGTCAAAGTCAGAGTGCCAGAGTCGTTTTGAATAAACCTGAAAAACAAAATTTATTATATTTTTTGAATTTTATAGAAATTAATAAGATAACAAAATGGACGAAAATCAAGGTAAATAATTGTCTTTTTTTCAATTACATTATTTGTTATTGTACAGAGCCTAAAGTACATACGATTTATTTTCGTATAAACGATCAGCCTTTGGAATTGCAGATTTGACAACCACAGAGTATCATCAATTATTATGTAAGTACATCTTTTTCTCTTTATACGCAATTTATATAACCTAAACATATTTATTATTTAATTTTAGATAACGACAAGGCAGCTTGGAAATTTGTCCAATCAATACATAATCAAGAAAACAGGCATCGCAACTCTGATGAGACAATTAATACTTTATATCGATCGGTTGATAATATTGATTAGTAAGTATAATGAAAAATTAGTAAGTATAATGAAAAATTTTTTTGTTTGGTCTACTTGCATGAAATATTCCAATTTTTGATTAATACTTCATCTTTTGATCAATTCAGAAAGAAATACATAAGATCGAGAAGTGAGTCTCGCGACCGAAACTCGATTCCAGACACGCGCACGTCAAGATATCCGATATCGCGATACGCGACGCGAGTGACGTGCGGGAACTTTGTAATTAAACCAAGTTACGAATAAAAAAGTTATATATATATATTTATTCCGAATACACAGGTGTCATTTTATTTATAATAAAATCAGTGAGTTACTCGATATCTATTTTATATAAAATATAAAATATTTATTTTGTTTTATCATTTATTTGGTTATGTTTTTATATTCGTAATAGAAATCTTGATTATTTTGCAATTGAACATGTTTTTCCATTCCTTAACTTATGAAAGATTACATCATCAAAGATAGTGTATAATTATCGTAATTAAACAAAATAAAAATAGTGAATATGTGGCTAATAACGTGTATTAATTCCATGATTACTGATATTCTTCATAAGAGTTACCACATTATGTTTTGACAGCGTTCTCAATTATGTAAATATAAGAATATTTATTACAAACATTAATAATAAATTTTAATGCTGTTCGCATGCAGCAACTAATTTTGTTGTTCGCAAGGAGTGGTTTTCTGAATTGACGACGCGCAAGTGGAGTGACTAGATTTATTTAATTGCCAATGTACAATGTTCTACGTTTGTGTTTGGTGGCCCTGAGAAGGGCCGTTTTGTTTGAGCCCTTACAAGAGCTGTTTGTCGCTGTCTCTTTTCTCTCCACGTGATGGAAGGTGTGGTGCGAGTATGTTGCAGCGGTCCCCACTGCTCGTGCCGTGCGATCTTAGGCGGTTATCGACTACCTGTGGACGAGGCTTTAGGTTGAGTGTTAGATGTTCTTGAACTCGGCTTAAGGTCGTTGGTTGTCGTTGTCGATCGTGCCGGGACTTCCGGATCTGTCTGCGTGCTGGAAACGCGCGTGGAAGGTTCCCAGTCGCTGTCAGATGTGACGCCTGATCGACTCCGGAAGGTGGCTCTGCCTGGATGCCTGGTGGCGTTCCTGCGGCTGAATTCAAAATCATTTTTGTTACCAACTTCATGAAATATATTTGTAACCATTTTCACACATTTCATTTATTGATTTAACACTTTACATAACAACATATTAAACATACGACAAATTATGTAACATTCATTCGTTCGTTCATTGACCATCAATCTGTACACATCTCACTCGTGAATTAAATATTTTATTACTAAACAGTAAAGTCTAGTGATTTAACTATAACGCTACCACACCGCGATGCACTCTGCTCAGTGGTGTCGTCTGCGTCTCCCGTGTCACCGGACGTGTTGGTGAAGCTGGGAGCGGCGATAATAATGGCGGTGCTATCCAGGCTTCCCTGGGTGAAGTGTAGCGCCTCAAGCGTATGTCCCACGTCTTGAAGAAGAACCGTGTGGGACGCGTTAGTCGAGGCGGCTCCAAGTCGATCGGGATTAGCTTCCACGGAAGTAGGCTCCAACCTACGCGTTTTTCCTTTGGAAACGGCTCCGGCGACTGTGGGGTCTCGGTTCCTGCTGTCCGCTCGTTGCCCGGTGATTTGGGCGGCGGTCTGGACCGTGGAAAGCTGCGCTGTTTATTTGCCTTCGGTGTCAGTCTCCTGTGGACAAATGCTTGGCGGCGGATTGCTCCGCTAAAATGTGTCTTTGCTTCGAGATGTACTCTCCGTTAGCTGAGCGACGACTCGCCGTCTGGGCCTACTGCGCGGCCTTATAAGCCCCACTCACTGTTAGCGGCTCGCGATGGTCGCCGCGTCGCGGTGAGCTCTTGCGGCTCGTTTTGTTCCTGCGCGCGAGCTCCGCGCGCCCTGCGCGTCGGAGTTCGTCGGCGCATATACCGGGTGGTTGTTTCGACCTTGTGGTGGTTCGTCGAACCGCCACAAAATATTATAATTTTCTAGATAAAAATCTTTTACTTACGATCAATTATTATATATCATAGTATTTACAGTCATGATATTCCTCAAAGAAATGATGCATACAAAAATATTTCTTGCACCAAGAGCAACGTATTACAGCAGGTGCACCACATATGAAACAGAGTGAAAGAACCCCGCACTAATCATATGGAAAATCTGTCTCATTACATCTTTTGTTCAGTAGGTCATAAGCTACAACATATGTAAAAACCAATTGATTTGACCGGGACAGATTTTCCATATGATTAGTGCGGGGTTCTTTTTTCTATATCTTTTCTGGAGAAACAAAAATCCACTGAGCTTTCAAAATGTGATGGCCGTTCTTCGAGGTAACCACTTTTAAACCAGGCATATTTGAAAAAATTATGGAATCGTGGAGAGGACAGTTGTATATGTGTTAGGATTGTAATGATATTATTTCACAAATGTAAATTGATATCATAACTTAACAACATAACGCGATCACTAAATGTCCTCACAAAGTTTTTCCATATTCTAAACCCATAAACGTCAAGGGGTTGAATCATTCCTGTAGTTTTTTTTGGTATTGTTAAAATCCGTACATCTTTATCTTTATAGATGGCATAAACTCTTGTAGGTTCGCGGGACAATGTCCGCTCCAAGAGTCTAACAATAACACACTGAAGGCTCCAGTTGCGGGTAAAAGTACATTTATAAACCAAGATTGAATGTGTTGTGTGGTTAATTTTCCTGATTTTAACGCTGCAATAAAAATATTTGCAAGCCTAAACAAAGTCTCTTCTACGCATGGTCCAAAACCTCCACTGGCCTCTTTCAAAACCAAGTAAAGAGGTGATTGCAGTTGCCCGCTTGCAGAAATTGTAGGCTTAATAGTATAGCTGTGTGTAATTGCTGATTGTGATTGAACTACAGTTTCGACTGTTTTAGCACCTTGTGTTAACATTCTTCCTAAATGTATTTCTAAATTGAACACACTTTCGTCTGCATTATATATATTTTGTATTTCAAAGAGATCTATAAATGATTTCACATAATTTATAAATTCTTGGCATGCAATTTGTGATTGTTCTTGATTTGTCTTTGATGAACGATTTATAAATTTTGTTATTTTTTTTGACACTATGCCGTGCTTTCTTTTAAAATTTAATATCCACGTTGCTCCTGCTTTAAAATGAAGAAGATTAATTTCTTCTTTTGCTTTTAGCGCCCATCATCGCAAATCTAAATCATGAATAATTCTGTTTTGGTCGTTAGCGTCTTCGAATTTTTTCAAGACATGTTCAGAAATTTGTAATAGTTTTTCTCTATGAGTACCATCTTTTTGTAGGGAGAGTTCCCATCGATAAAACTGCGGACAAGGACTTTACTTTTCTAAAGCGATGTTGTACTGTTAATAAAGCGTAGCGACCCTTTTTTCCATTTTTCCAGAATTCAACAGCTTTTTTTTTATAGTCATTATTTATAATTCCGCCTTCTTTCAATGTACAACTATCTTCTCCCTCATCTTCATCATTTTCTTCAAGTTCTTCTATTTCATCAGCTGTGACAAATTGTGCTTCGGATAAATTTGAGTCCCAATAATTCTCAAATTCTAACGTAGTATCGGTCTGCATTGCAAATGATATGTCATCCATTGAATTTTGTATAATATCCTTTATAGTATCATATAATTCGATTTCTTTATCATTTACTTGTGTTCGTGGAATATTTGAAATTTGGAATAAAACAATTAACATATTAAGAACATTCGCAAGATTCACATGTAACATTTTGCTTAAATTAAAGATACAAACACTTCTTCCGAAAATTAAAACTCTGACAATTTTACACTTGAATGAATCGTGAAACTTGTTGGTTACACTATATACTAAAACTGCGCAAAATATTTCCGTTTTATATAGAGTCTTATAATCTTATTTACATATTCCTTATATAACATTTTGTAAATAAGGAAAATTACTTCAAAATATTCTCACGTTGCGGTGCAACGTGACTACTTTGCATTAGAGTTATGTATAAATGAATAATATGTATGCGATATAAATATACAACATGAGATATAAAACGCGATTTAAATCGTTGCATTTCGATGATTTTTCACGTCATGTTCCACTGCAATGTAGAAACATTTTGAAATAATTCTCTATATTCAAAAAATTCGATAATGTAATCTTTCATAAGTTAAGGAATGGAAAAATATGTACAATCGAGCAAAACAATCAAGATTTCTATTACGAATATAAGAACATAACCAAATAAATGATAAAACAAAATAAATATTTTATATTTTATATAAAATAGATATATAATAATAGAAATATTCTTATGATGAAATTTTATGCATAAGTAAGAGAGTAAATAAATAAATTCTTCTCGCAATAATTTTATTGGACGCTGTCATTTGTCATATACAGGGTGTCCCAGACCACCCGTACACCCCTTTTAAAATGAAAATAAATTATCAAAAATCGCGAACATTTTTTAAGTAAATCGGGTATGCTCTATCGAACGGTGATATTTTCAACTTTGATTCCGACGGGAAATACGCCATCCGGACCGGAAGTTGAATTTTTTGAGGGGAACATAGTACTTTTTATTACAGATTCGAATCGTACGTGAAAAAATAAGGAACTTTTGTATCAAACGTTTTTTCTGAAAGTGCCTCTATCAACCTTAAAATTGACCTTGAAAGTAACTGTGATGAAATTATGAACTTCAAATGTTCCTGTGGCGTAACTAATGACAGTC